ACTTTCCCTCAAATTCTTTATCTTTGTGGCTGCTTCAGGCTTGTTTTGCGGTGGGGCTTTTGGGGCAAAACTGGTTCCTCCGATTTTCTAGCCGATTTTGGGGGGGGGGCCCGATTCGTGTCTTTCGTCACGTTTTCGGCCTCGTGACGTCGGTTTTGGTGCAGCGGGTTTTGGCGGTTTTGCCACCAACACTCCAGCAAATACTGTGCAAAATAAGTCATGCGAATGTTGTGCCCGTAGCTTTTCCACTTTTTCATCCGAGTCATAAGAAACTCAAAAATAAAAATTCCTATTGCATATGCTATGTTCCACCTTATAATTGATTGGAACAAGTTGCTGTATCACATCATTTATTAGGGTGATACAGAATTAATTTGTTCGAAAATAAGTGGGAGTTAAAATTCCAAACCGAAATAGATGTTTTTTCTGATGATATTATCATAATATTAATAAAAAAAAAAAAAAATAGAATTTATAATCAGAATCCTGAACATTAACGAATCATCCTATATGCAAAAACTATAAAGATACGCAAATCAGTTAAACTTTTTCAAATGTCGCAAATAGGAACCAAATTACTTGAAAGTTTCTCTAATGATTTTGCACAACTTCTTGAAACAGAATATGATTATAACGTTATAGTTAAAGTTGGTGATCAAAGTTTTAAGCTACATTCATTAATTTTATATCAACGCTCATCATTCTTTCGTCAAGAATTATCAACCGCAACTAAAAAAAACAATATATTTGATATTAATTTAACGCATTTCTCTATTGAAGCTTTTAAAATTTTAATTAAGTAAGCGACTTGTTTATGCTAAAAATAATTATAGCTAAAATTCACCAGAGGTGAACATTCACCAGCATATGTTTTTTAAAAAGATTATTATAAGTCTTGCCTAGTTAGAATTAAGAGTTATAACTAATGCTTTGGATTTGATATTGGGGTGTTTTAGAGTTCTGAACATTTTCATTTTATTCAAAATTTTGAGAAATTAGTATACATGGTGAATTTCATCCCTTGTGAGCTAAAATCGTCCTTATTGTTAAATACTAATTTTAGGTCTTTTAATTTAGGTATATTTACACTGGTACGATCTTTTTAGAAAATTTTGAGGAATCTACTATATTTAATCTTTTAGTTTCATCAAACAAATTAGGCCTTGTTGAATTAGTTGAATATATCCAGTCTTATCTCATTAATAACAAGGCACCTTGGCTTCGATTTAAATTTACCCAAGTTTATTCTACAAGTTTTCAAGATAATTTTAAACCGTTGCAAACGTTTTGCACTGATATCCTTGCGAAACATCCTAACCTAGTTTTTGCTTCTGAAGATTTTACTTCTATTCAAGAAAATGCTTTGATAACTCTTTTAAAGAGAGAAGATTTACAAATTGAAGAATCTGAAATTTGGGATAAGGTTATTCAATGGAGAAAAGCAAAAACTCCAGATCTACCTTCAGATCTCAAACAATGGACAGAAAAGAATTTTTTAGATTTAAAAACTACACTTAATCAATGTATTCCTTTAATTCGATATTTTCAAATGCCTGGAAAAGATATTGTAACAAAAGTTAAACCTTATCGACAAATAATTGAGTCAAATTTATGGGACGATATTACGACAAAGATTATGGTACCTGATATATCAGTTTCTTCAACTATCCTACCTGCTCGTAAAAAAATTACAGTTCAACTTCCTGTTCGTGATGTTAACTTTATTAATCAATCATTTATTGTTAATGATAAACATTTTGCAGAGATTTCGTCTTGGATTGATCGTCGATCATCGATATATGAAGTTACAAAAATACCTTATAAATTTAATTTACTTCTTAGAGGAAGTAAAGATGGATTTACTCGCGAAACATTTCATAAGTTATGTGATAATATTCCTGGCACCGTAACTGTTATTAAGATTAATGGCACAAATGAAATTCTTGGTGGATATAATCCATTAGTCTGGACGTCTAACAATTCGTTTGAATGGTTTACAACAATAGATAGTTTTATTTTTTCATTAAAAACCCAAAATTTATCTAATTCCATCCTTAGTAGAATTATCCATGCAAATCAAGTAATTGGATGTAATCGCATTTATGGTCCAGTTTTCGGTGGTGCTTTCTATACAGCAAATGATGATAAGATATGGTGTTACGGTTATAAGAATAAATATTATAAAAAACGACTTAGATCTGATTGTTCTAATCTTTTAATTGATGAATTTGAAGTATTTCAAGTCTTGAAAAACTGATTTGAATTTTCAAACTCACAATAAAGGTATTGAGAGCTTTCTACGAATATTTTTTTAGGGCTCAATCAAAGTGTGCATTTATAGAGATAATTTTAATGGCACTGTTAGATCATAAATGAGTTCTCAAGCATCTTCCTAGATGCAATTTCCTAGTGATCAAAAATATTGCATAACTAATGTGATGTAATTTTAGCTGATCTTATAGTATTTTATTAAAAGTTATACATTATTACTATCAATAAAAAAAATATATTGGAAATACTGTAGTTTTGTGACACATTTATATGTTGTGACTGGTGCAACCACCCATCTGAAGTTGATGATTAAGGTTGCACCTGCAGCTGCTTTAAAAAAAAGTAATACGGAATAATCTTTATATTTACAAATGTCGCAAATAAGAACTAAATTACTTGAAAGTTTCTCCAACGATTTTGCACAACTTCTTGAAACCGAATACGATTATAATGTTATAGTTAAAATTGGCGAGCAAAGATTTAAGCTACATTCATTAGTTTTATATCAACGCTCATCATTTTTTCGTCAAAAATTATCAATCGCAACTAAAAAGAAAAGTATTATTGAAATTACCTTAACTAACATTTCTGTTGAAGCTTTTAAAATTTTAATTAAGTAAGCGATTTATTCATAATCGACCTAATCATATAATTAAAATAGATAGAAATTTACATTTATATCATGAATATTTTATGAAATTAATCGAGTTAATAATTAACTGCTTTTTTTTATTCTTTATTATGGTATATATATCAATTTGTCTTAACAAATTCTCTTGAAATGGTTCTAAAATGCCTTGTGAATTATACAAAATAAATAACCTCCTCAATATATCCTTGAGGCAAAACATTCATTTTGATACTCCTGCACCCATAGTTGGTGGTAGAATTACTGAATTACGGCATTACGGCATTCTACCATATGGTAGAATTAATTACGGCATAGCGATAGCATCTGATTGCCGTAATTATGTGGCGGAGCCAAAATTCAGAAAATCGACCAAAATTCCGGGTCGGTATATATCGGAACGTTTCGGTATTACTTCATACGACCTGTTTCCGAAGTTTTCGGACCCAGGCTTTTGGTCAGTACGCTTAATTTTGGTTCCGTATTTATAATTACGGCAAAAAATACGGCACGTGCCGTAATTCTATAATTTTCAAGATTAATTCTACCACCAACTATACCTGCACCTACTTTTTTGAGGGGACGTCTAAAGCGGAAGCAACCCATATTTAATAATTTTTTCGATTAACTTTATAGTTAGGGTCGTCCTATTGTATATTGGGTTAGGTCAGTTTTTGGTAGTTATATTTAAGCAAAATTGCCTTTCCGACATTTTTGATTAACTTACCCGAGTTAGGTTTAGATTGCCGTTTTTTAATTTGATTGGCTGTTTATCACATGATTTAGAACTACACCAGTAGCAAATCTTACGTTTTTGATACTCCTGCACTTACTTTTTTGATACCGATCAACACGCAGATCCTGGTAAAAATAAAAAATTTAAAAAATTTGAGCGAAGTTATCTTGACACCTACATGCTTGGATATGATAGATCTTTTCAATCTGAATTCTGTGGATTCATAGAATTTAAATAAAAAAAAATTTATCGAATTTGACCACGTGGTTGTCAAGATAGCTTCGCTCAAAATTAGGGAAAAATCAAAATGCCTTCAAAATAGAAGCTGCGCCAAATTTCTCTCTAACTTTGAGCGAAGATATCTCGATAACCTTCTGACCAAATTCGATAAAATTTTTTTTATTTGAATATTATGGATTCATAGAATTCAAATAAAAAAATTTTATCAAATTTAGTCAAGTG